ATCATCATCAGCTTTATAGTCTTACTCATCATCTATCAAAGACACATCCTTCTTTCTTAAGTTATATTTTTGATGAACTATAGGATGGTGATTATTAACATCCAATTATTTGATAAAAGTAACGTAACTGAAGACACATAGATCTCTTATTGCTGTTTGGTCTGCTATTATTGATATATGAGCTTGAGATGCAAACCTTCTGAAGATGATTTACGCAGTATCAACAGAAATGATTTGTATCTTTAGAGTGAAACACTCACTCACAATATAATAGTGTTTTTTGTCACTACCAGTAAAGGTATCTGTACATACACCTATCCGCAGGCAATTTTAATAGAACTGCTTTATTATTTTGCTTCTATAACCTCTTCATAATTTTGATAAAGCGGTTTTTCTGAACTTCAGAATTTGTTATAGTCAAATAGAAACTCAATTAGATCGGCTTACATTATTAAGTTACCAGTATGATAGGTTAATCTGTTTTGAATGTCTAATTGAGTTTTGATTTAGTGTGTTCTGGATTTTCTAAATATATAAAAATTTGTTATAATGTCTTAATAAGAATTATAATAAGAATAAGTTTGTAATATTAAATAACAAATTGACACTCCCTAACGAAGTATATATTAACGAGCAATAACATGTAAAAGAGTATGTTTGCAAAATTGTACTTAAAACTGCAAGCATTTAACAGAAAACCTTTACAGTTTTGTACAGAAAGTATATAACATAAGGATTCATCAAGCTAATAAAAGTTAAGCGCTGTTAATAACAGATTTGAAAAACATTTTCGTGTTTTATTAGAGACTGACTGACTGTTGTGCACAGTACATTAAAATTTATTTCCAGAAGTATATATATATAGGTTTGGTTATTTAATAAAAAACTGTTAAACACATTACTGCTTTTTTTGCGCTGTTAATGTATGGAACAGGTTCACTGTTAATAACAGTTTCAATAAACTGCCATGTTTAACGGTATATATACTTATACATCTTCAGTTATTTAATATAAAACTGTTAAGCTCATTACAGAATGTCTAGCGCTGTTAATGTGTGTAATATGGTCACTGTTAATAACAGTTTCAATAAATTGCAATATACATATATACAAAAATGTTCTTAAAATGTAGGTCAAATGTGAAGAAGTGCATTACAGTTGCATGTTAATGTCGTGGATGCTGAGCTGAAAATACTGATTTAACTGTTTCAGTTCCTCGGTTTTCGGTCATGAGGGCAGTGCACTTTCTGGCTTTCACTGAAATAAAAATTAATAAAGACACAAATTCATAATCAAAAAATTTATGTAGAATTGTTTAAAATATTGCACAATGCATTTATTAAAATAACAAGCAAATAATAAACTTTTGTTATATAAATTATTTACAACTCAATTTATGCATATATGCGTATATATGTTCTTGTTTTTTTTTTCTTAAATGAAATGAGAATACAAACATTAAAAGTAAAAGTGGTTACGAACTGCAAAATGCCATAGAGAAATCGATGAAATCGTTTGTAACTAATATAAAAAAAAAATTATAAAAATAATATTTTAAAATTTATTCAGTGTTAAATATAAATAAATATAATTAATAATAATTATATAAGATACTCTAAAAATTAAACACATAGTTAACATAAGCAAAAGCAATCGTTATATATAAAAAGTTGAATATTGTGCATTTTTTTAGTGTTTTAAGCAGAAAATTAAATGTTTTTAATGCCTTAAAGTATGCTTCAAAAAATAATTAGTTCAGGGTTTCAGCATCAAAGTTGTATGTACGGGTTTTACGGGTTTTTTTTACTTTAAAATGTTAGTAAAATTTGTAGTAATAAGTATATTTATTAAAATAATTGCTAAGCAAATACATTGAACTAAAATATTGAATTAAAATATTTGTGTCTATTTGTGCAACAGTTACGGGTGCACTGCTCTCAGTGTTTTAATATAAAATAAAATAAGGTTAAATAATATTTTTTTTTCTAAATAATTACTTTGAACTGTAACGTGTAACTGAAAGTGTACTAGAAACAATATACAAAAAAAAACACACTTATTTGCCTGCAATTATTCAAAATGTGCATGTTCGTAATCTGTATGCTGTGCACCGA